AGAACAATCATGGCAGCTACTCTTATCGAACCGCCTCACAGGTGTCTTCAATGAATCTCTTGATTCATTTGACCACAATATGGGCCTTATTCCATTCTTTCCAATGGGGCTTCGGCTTCGTTCGGGGCAGATGCAACGTGCAAAGTATATGTTTCATGGTTCATGGTTCTTCCGCATTCCACTCCTTGTCCAGCTGCTGCGTGTGCATGGGCAGCTTAGTCAGAATCACCTCTGAGTCCTGAGGACAAGGTCAGGCGTGCCTGCAAAGCTCTTCGTATTTTCCATGATGATCGACGGGTCGACGACTGTGAAATATGCGATGCCCTTTGCTCCTAGTAGCGTCCTTGCTCCGTTTATATGCGGATGTTGGGCGGGCTCTTCTTTCCGTCGTTCCCAAGCACCCCGTTCCCCAGCATCATTGCCTTTTCCGGACTTCTGGTCATGGGGGGGGCGTGACCTCACACCATCTCGGCTCTCAGGCCCTACATACTTCAAAATTTGGAGTATGAGCTGCCGTTCAATTGTTGAACTTGCCGTACTCAGAACAAGTCTGATACAAGTCTGTACAGTAGCACCTGTCTGCATTCTTGTCACTTTGGAGTATCTACAATGCAAACTGAATTAACCTGTCATGCCAACATCGACATTTCAGGATATTGAATGCATGCTCGATACCTCGCAAATACCTTCAGCATTACGAGGAACAGTAACGATCAGCCAAAGGGCACATGTTCGTTTGACCTAAATGGTGATGGAGGAAGTAGCCTTAAACGGACAGACCCTTCCCTGCACACCTGCACACGCACAAGAGGCTTCAAAATGCCTTGCAGCAGGTTTTGAGTGGGCCCGAAGCAATGCAACTTGAGCAAAGCTTTGGAAGTCGTCTCTGCTGCAAGTATTTGGTGAAACTGACTGATGTCTCATGTCTGGTCCCAGGATCTGGTTTGTTCGGCAACTTGTCCTGAGATGAGAGCGGGCCACCAATGCTCAATCTTCGTTTGGTGAATGAACAAGCATGCTATCATCAGAAGAGTTGGATGAAGAAATAAACTTACACATATATTATTCAACACAGTGAATCAATATGTCTCAATCAAACAAGTGAAAGGAGCACCCCGTTCTAGTTACATAGCTTACGCTGCATCGCAAAGGGGTGCAAGCCAGAGTCGAGCAACCCTGAAGTGTTGCCGCCACTACATTCAACAACCAAGCCTAAGGCACTCTTGCATGCTAGTGCAGTCACGGTGCTCAAACATCTGGCGTGATCGGACTATTACCCATTTTGGAGCGCTTTGAGATGTTATGGACCTCAGTATTCAACGCCCCTCCGGGTGAAGAAGGTTTTGCCGCTCTGGCTCTCCACAACAAATTCAGGTGACCATTTGCGAATGTGTAACATGTGACTCTTCTCCTACACACTGGAGGGAAAATGTAAGTACCAATCAAAAATATTAAAATCTTAGCATACCTCACAATGGAGTGGAGTAGAACCATTGTCTTGGTCACGTCTTTACAAATTGGATGGCCTCCTCCTGAGCGTTGTATACCTCTTGCGATATGCGAAGCAAACATGAACACTGGACCTGTCTCTTGCCATAATCCAAGCTACCACCTCCATGTATGGTCTCTCTGACTCCTGGCAGTCCCGTTCGGTGGAGAAAGGAGGCAAAACCATTGGCCCTGTGAACGTCATGATATATGTGTTCTCCAACAACTTCGGACTTAAAAATGTGCAAGAAACATCTTAAAATTACCCTGTCCAGCTAGGTTTTTCAGATCTCTTCAGACTACGTTCCGATGAGAAACAGTGCTACAAAAGGTATATTTAAAAAAAATGTTTAAACTCCGAAGACATTTACACCCCCACAATCGCCACCACCCAAAATTCTTCCTTCTGAAGAGTGTGCAAAGGTTTGGAAGGACAAACACATCGATTTGTTGTATTCTTTTGAATGGCCGTGTGCGAAACAGCTCTCTGTGCATCACGGGATTGCCTGCATGTAAATGATTGCAAGTAACAAAATGTCTGTGTGATGGTTTGAGGTCGAAAGCACTTGCAGGGTGACCAATTGGATCAGAAACATGCTACAAATTCGAAGTCAACGGATAGCATCTTGCAAGTTCCTCAACATGATGTGGTAATGCAATCGGAACCCGGTACATGGATCCGTACATGGCACAAACCAAGACAGCACGGGCTTAAAGCCACCATGGCTCCTTTGCCAGCTCGTAGTTGGCACGGAAGACAGCCTAGGAGAAAGCGGCAGCACGAGGATAGGGAACCGCCCACGATCAGTTTCTGCTCTTGCAACCAACAATTTTGCAAAGCTTCTTGGTGCTTCAGGTGAATGTAGTGCATGATCAATCCTGTAAAAACATCTCAGCAGCAGCATGCTGAAAATAACCGGTTCATGGCTTTAACAGGACTCAGGAAAGAACACACAATTTCACAAAATGCATACATCTCATGTCTTTCATCAGTCAGTCCTCCGACCACAAAGCACCTTATGCACAAGTGTTCAGGTGAGGTGACAGGTTCAACCAAGGACCCCAAGTGTCTGAATAATGGTTTAGCATGGTTTTTAACAATTTAATAGATAATATATATAGTCGTAGTTGCTTAATCCGGAATTTGTTCAATAGGACCCAAGGTGGCCCAAGTGACAGGATATGTGCATACAGCATATATACATATGCATGATTACATATGATTACATATGCATATATTATGCTCGACAGAGCCCTGTTGTGGCAGTGTCCGGCTTCACTGACTTTGTGGATCCTTCTCAGCCGTAGTTGTTCAATTCCTCTCAATCTGACGAAGGTGACAGCCTTTTTCACCTCACCAAAGCTCAGATAAGCGGCGACAGAACAATCACACCCATCAAATGAGCTGCATGTGGTGAGATCTTGGGGATTTCCTCCAGGTCACGGTCAAGGGCGAGGCAAACTCAGGTCCATGAACATGTGCAAGTAGGGAAATGGGGAAATGAGACGAATGGCGATATCAAATCATAAGTGTAGATGAACGAAGCTGGATGAAAGCTATTGACTGAACATGATTGAACATGCCAGATTCTCATGATTGACACATCGGTAGGGTATGGTCGACTCTTTCACAAACTGCTCTCATGTCAACACCGCGAAAAAACCAAGGAGTGTGCAACGGATTCAGTCATGAGGTCCTGCATGGAAGACATGGAAACCACACCATACTCCACCATGACTGCGTTTGTGGGCTCAGGGGCACCTTTTCTCTAGCTCACGACCTGAGCTTGGTGCCGACAGATTCCGCCCACCATATCCCATCCTGGGATGGAAGTGCGAGGACGTGGAGGAAATACCATCGCGAAGTGAGCTGGTATGTCCGACCCCCGCCAACACACAAAAGGCAATACTGCGCTCATCGCCTTGTGGGACGCCTGACCGGCCCTGCAAGGTTGCTTGCAATGTCATGGACCTCCGTCAGCTTCGACCATGCATGCTGGCGGAACTCGAGATTTCTTGCGCAGGTTGGCATCCTCTCCACTGGTGTGGCAATCGCTGCCCAACGCAGCCGCGATCTGCCAGCAGTACTTCAGTTTCAAGAACAGTGGAGAGAGAACACGCAAAGCTTCCTTGTCAGAGAGGCTCTATGCTACGCCGAGTTCAGCGAGGCGATCATCCGCCTCTATGAGGAGAAGAATGGCATCCAGCAGCCCTGGGCCCTGGACTTCGACCTTCCTCCAGATGGTGATGAATGGGAACAAGAGGAATCTGGACGACCTCACTGGGTTGGCCCTGGCAGAGTTGCTTTTCAAGAAGTACTCCCTCACCAAGAAGAAGGTGATCCACGTCGACACATCCTCTGGGCGGTCATTGGAAGCCGCATCTACAGATGCTCAGTCCACAACGTCCGGCCAGTGACCAAGGTCAAACGCCTCCAGTATGAGATGACGGCTGATGAAGATCCCACAAAGTGGAAATCTCTGGCAAATATCCTGCCCAAGCGAGAGGTCAGTGACATTTTGGATGAGCTCCCCAAGCAGGATGAGATTGAAGTCCCGAACCCTCCGTTCTCTCCAGATCCTTCGACCAAGGCTCCAAAACGACGAGCTACTGGCAGTCCACACTGCAGCCCTCCGACTACCGGTCGAAACACCGCAGCAGCCCATTGGGACTACAACCTCCAGATCATGAAGTACAACACTTTAAACCTCCCGCTCACGCTTCGAGCTCGGCACGGCGGCCTTCCAACTCGGCCCTACCAGAGGCTGAGGAAACAGCCAATGACTATGACTATGAAGACTGCACACCTAGTCTACCTGATACCGCTGCTGATGAACCTCCTGAAGATGATCCACAGCCTTCAGAGAGAGATCCCAAAAGAGCTCGCAGTGAGTATGATCTGAAATGGGTGGAGGAGCTGAAATCTCACTCCGAAATTGATAACAATGAAGTCTTCAGCTACCTCACCGAATGTCAAGATGATTTGGACGTCTTGGTCATGGCACCCCTTCGGAACCCCGTCCTCTACATGGCCAAGAAACTGAACAACTCAGAAGTGCCCCTGCAGCGCTTGAGCAACCTTGAGGTCGTCCTCTTCCAGCGCGCCAAAATGAAGGAAGTCAACTCCTTCCCCAAGAACGGTGCTGTCCGCAAGTGCCTTGATGATGCGGAGATCCGCGAGGCCTATGGCAGTGGCAGAATCCTCAAGGCCAGATGGGTTCTCACTTGGAAGCCCATATAGCGCCCGATGAACGGGATGAAGCTTTGAGCGACAGTCGCAACAACCCCGAGACGGTGATCAATCCGCAGGGCACCAAGAAGGCAAAGGCCCGCTTAACAGACAGGAACTTCAAGACGGCTGCACCTGTCCAAAGCGGACTTGGGCGATCACTGCTCTACTTCCTCTCTGTCGTCAACCAATCCAGATCTGCGGCATTGACCTTGCAACCGCCTTCCTGCAAACTCAGCCAACCGAGGCCGATCAACGTCTCTGGAAATCAGGTGTTGCGAACTCAAGGAGGCCATGGGACTGCCTCAAGATGCTCTCCTTCGCATTCTGTGCAACCGCTTCGATCTGGTCGACGGCGGTCAGGCCAAGCTTCTTTTGTGGCCTCCACGAAGTTGGGATCGTAGGCGATCGTCCAGTGCCAAGTGGCCATGAACTTGAGGATCCCTTCGCGGCTGTCGCCCTTCTTCTTTGTCATCGAGTCGGCCAGGTCATAGTCAGACGCAAGCCATCGCAGCGTGCTTCCACACCTTCGCAAGTTCTCGCGAAGCTGGAAGGCTTGGAGCGCCGCCCTCATGTTGGTGAGGCCGAGAAGCGGGCTCTCGTTGGGTCTCTGTTGGTGCAGACCAACCCCTTGACCTTCATGGCCTGGAGCTCGGAGGATTCCACCAGATCACGTCGAAGATCTCTATGGTGAAGTCCAGCTCCATTGATCTCCGACCAGAGGAGGCGTGCTCTAAAGTTGTTGTCTTCTGACTCGAGCACAGCTTGGACCTCTGCGTCGTTGGAGGCAATGGCCTTTCGCTTCAACTTCCAGGTCTTCCATGTCAGAAGGACCATGGGCGTCACATCGCCTGACAGGCTGTCAGGTCCAGCAAGGAGCGTGATCATGCCTCCTGTGCTGTCACCCTTTGGCCGGTTGCTGTGGGCCTGGTCCCCATGGTGATGGCGATGACGCCGGACCAGTGCTTCATTTTGGGAGGGCGAAAGAAGCGAAGCCGTTGAGGTTGTACTCGAACTTCACTGATCATGTTTTGGATCTCTCTTGCATGAGTGGTGGTGCCTTCAACCAAGATCTCCGTCAGGAGGATGTTGCATCTTGAGCACAGTTGTTTGAGTTTGGATGGCCAACCACTGGAGCGATCCAAGTGCCGTTCGGCATGAGGCAATCTCTTGAGGCGTGAGTGCCTGATCAGGAGTTCGAAGGCGCTGCACTGACACTTCTAAGTCAGGGATGCCCTCAATGCAGGCATCCTGGTCAATTTCGATGCGGAAGGTGCCATCAGCCTGGTCGATGGTGTTGAGGTCTGTTCCAGCATGGTGACACGATCGTCGTTTGATCGTTCCCCATTGGTAAGCGCTGCGCTGTCGATCTTTTGGCAGATCTCAATCCATTCAGGCGACTTGTTGTTGCCGACCCTGTGGAAGTCACGTGACCGCCCATTGCACCGAGCAAGGCAGGTGTAGAGGTCACCGGGTCGATCTCATGCTTACTGAACAAAAGCCAGAGGCATCGCTCGCCAACTGCAGGAACTGCGCCAAGTCCAACCAGGTCAAGCCATAGACCCCTGGGACAGAGCTCTTCGGCAAGCTGATGCGCTGTGTTCGGCGACCGCTTTTGAGATGATGCCTGAGCCGCCTGAGCCTGTAGCTTCAGTGATCCCTGAGGACCGATCACTGATGTCCTCTTTTCCCCGTGCAACGGATTCAGTCATGAGGTCCTGCATGGAAGACATGGAAACCACACCATACTCCACCATGACTGTGTTTGTTGGCTCAGGGGGGCCCTTTTTTCTAGCTCACGACCTGAGCTTGGTGCCGACGGGCGCCTGCCATGAATCGGTGCTTTGTGTGCCGTGCCGCTTCGTACGATCGAGCCCAACCTTTTGTGTTTGACGCTCTTGCGCCGCTTTGCTGGAGAGTGTTTTTCTGCCTTTCACGTGCTCTTGCAGAGTCCGATTCTGGGTCTCAAGTCCCCTATGTAGTACCAGGTGTGCATACAAACATATTCACACATAAACATTTGTGGCGGGTGAATCGCCCACAGATTCGAAGTATCACAAAATCGTGAAACCTAAGGATGGTGATATATTCTGATATGTGCTTCCGGTGCTATTTACCAAGCACGCTTTCCTGCCGAATGCTGGTGCTTGAACGCCCCATGGATCCCCATGGTCATGACATGGTCTCCATCGTCTCCTCCTCCGACAGTTCCTCAAAGCTGACTGAAACGCCTCAGTGCACAGTCGTTTCAGTCTATGACGTCGTGTGTCCATTTTCGACCTGTGTCGAGCAGATGTGTCTCCTCTTTGCTGTGTTTACTGTAAATACACATTGGCTTTCGGATATGTTTGAAAAGGAGCGAAGACTGAAGCCGCAAAATGTGCAAATCAGAATGCATGTGTTCTTGGACTCGCGTACTCGGAGCACTTAGGCTTAGGAATCCTTCAAGGAGGTGACCAAAACCAACAGGTGCTTCTGAAGCACGTATGCCAGTCGAAATCAGGAAGATCGTCAGACCGTTCAGCAAGCACTTTACCTTGGTTCCGAAACATATCCTGCAGAGCAGAACATCCGTGATCCAGTAGCAGTCACCTCTCATAGCACAATAAGCTGTGTCACATCAGTGCAAAACATGACAAACCCTCCAATGTCCTGCAACTGAACAATGAAATTGCTGTTTCTATAGAAAATGAACTGCAAAAGGAAGTTCGCTCCGCAAAGACTCTGCCGTGCAGTTTCCCATTGCATCTGGGAGCAGCACTGCGAAGTGCCTCCATGCCTTCGGGGAAAAACCGGTGAGGTCTCCACATGTTTGCTTTTTGGTTTCTTTCTGGCCGTTTGTCTCTTTTTCCCACACACACACACACACTGATACGTTTCCTTTTCTACCCTTTATGGGTCTATAAACTGATTTTGTACACATCTTGTTCTGTCTATTATCTCAATGTGCATCAACTGAATATAGAGATGGATACCAATCAAGCACAAAGACTGCTAGATGTGCTTCGTAATCGGAGTGGGAATGTGCAGTTGTGACGGAATTGAGTCACGTTGCGTTGATGTTCATTACTTTATTTTGGTCTCTGCTCGAAAAAGGCAACAAAGACGTTTAGTTGTGGACGCACTGTGCCGGCCCATGCAGTCCAAGATGCCACAATGTTGGCATTCAAATAGTAGGATGTCGCCTGGTTTGCATAGGCTAGCTTCAACAACCAGAGTCACATAACCTGATTATCACACTTCACACCATTCAGAGTTCTGCAGGTTGGACCACTGTGCTTTTCGAGTCACAATCTCAAATCCCGTGGGGCCAGCAGTTTCCAGTCGGTACCTCCCACAGCACCAATGGTGTCTCTAAAGAGTTGCACAACAAATTGCTGAAATTGCTGGACATGGACAAAAGTCTGTCTTCTGTGACTCAAATAGGAAGGCCAAAGGATCCACTGGTTTTGGTTATGTACTGTCACTTCGACCCATGCGTGTTGGGGTGTGCAGCTTTTTTGAGCCATACGCCGTACGCATACGCGCATAATACTATTCAGGTGAGGTGCGCTCAACATTTAGTACATTCATCCTGCAAATGCAGCGGTTCCCAGGTCCTATCGCCATTTAAGCAAGCTTGAGGCACGTGTGGTAAGTCTGCGCAATTCCAACCTGAGAACAAACACTGCAAGACAGCAGTCACGACATTAGGGGAATGCTCGAATTCGCTCCATTAGGCCGAAGGCTTTGCTTTGATGGATGCAGTGTATAATAAGTGTTGCTGCGGTCGAGAAGCATAGACCGCAATAATGTTCAGGAACAGCACTGTGCTCCTGAGCGTTGTCTATGTGCTCATGGGACCCTTCTGTTTTGTTTGGACGACATGTCAAGAACTCATATCGCGTTTACAGTAAATACGTTATTCACAAGCTCTGAGCTCGGTGCATCAAGGCAAAACTCAGGCAGCGAAGCCACCCTGACAATCATGATGGTGGGCGTTTGAACCATCCCAAAATGTACCAAACATGCAAACGCATCTATGACTCCTACAAGCAAATATTAGAGTCAGTGACTGAGTGAAGCAATCAGCGAAAACGTGCAAGCTGTTTGGCTCAGCCAGTGGCCTTCCACAGTCACAAAATTTAGCTGCTTCCTTGGAGGGCTTGCAGGGGCAACTAGTTGGCTGAACACGGCAGGGAAGAAGCACATGTGCTGCTTTGTTGAATTCAATAGGTCTTAATCATGTATGAATTAGCTGAAGAATTGTGAGATATCAAATTCCCCACTGGTCACACCACTTATAGGCTGCTAGGCAATCTCATTTCAACTCGTTTCTATTGGCAACTTTTCTTTATCTGTTACTTCACATTTCAGGTGCATGCTTGACTTCCAACGAGCAAAAATGATTGCCAGCAATCAAACCAATTGTGCAAATAGGCGCAAATGTATATGCACTGACTTACAGTAATATTGGGTGCCAAAGCTCTTCATAGAGACCACATGAGTGCACGTGGCCACCTGAAATTGCAGCGTTAATTTATGCAATTCAAGAGCAACGTTATATTTAGGGCTTAAGTCGAAACTCTTGCAAGTGCAGTGCCTGACTAAAATAAACATTCTAATAATAATTATACTAAACTGGCCAAAGGGATCGAAATGGTCCAGGAATGTCCACGGATGTCCACGGTGATCAAAATGCACTTGCTTTAAAAAAAAGATCCAAGGTTCTTCCCAGGACGGTGGTGCTAAGGGGTCCATTCGCTAAGACCGATTCACGAAGTGTTCTGAAAGCGCTCTGAGAAAACCGGCCATCAGTGAGGAGACGACGCCAAGCTTGGAGAAAGCTGCAAGCCTCGCATCTAGTAGCTTCTTGTTACTAGTAGCGATGGCCTCCAACCTACTTGATACTAGTAGCTTTAGAAATTGCAATGTGCAAAGGATATTATGGAGATGTCTGCAGAATTACAGCAAAGACCAAAACATCATAAAACGTCCTGCCATGTCATGTCCTGCTTCCTAATCAGGCTAGACTTCGAGTTTGATCATCTTCAAGTGCTTTCATTCTGCAGCTCATGTCATGGGTGCCTCTTGTTCAAGACATTCGCTTGGAAGAACCGCGGATCGTTTTGTAGATCCATAGATTCGGACTGCACCAAGCCAAAGCTGTTTTCCATCCTTACAAAGGTCTCAAACACACACACACACTCAAAACAAGTGGTTGCCACAAATCAAGGGCAAATCAAATCTCTACAGGGTCAATACTAATACGCATACTTCCATGTTCAGATTCTTAGAGTACAAGGGAGCTGTTGCAAGCATTGACTCTGCGCTCCGAGGCAAGGAAAAGAACCAAGAATAAGAAAGCCTGTAAAATCGATTTTATCGTCTTCTTTTGGTGCTGACATCATGGCGGCAAGTCTCCATTCAAGAGTGCACGGAAGTGTGGATTGAGACATCCTTGGACGCAGGACTGTCCAAATCTTGTGAGCATAGCAAACATACTTAGCATGCCTTAGCAGTAGACATTGATGGCCTGAAGATCTACGGAAAAAAACATGTTGATTGACAAGGGGCATCTGCTTGTACCTGGCCCCGGATTGAAATACTGAAGATTGCGAGTCATCGCTGTGACCTGCGGCACCGCGCACGGATTGCCGCTTCCCCAATCATTAGTGCGAGCGCTTCTTCAAGGAAGCTAGCCCCACCATGCTTCTTTGAAGAAGCATGAACTATCCTGCGTCCATATGTAGTAGAGTTCTTTAGCTACTAGCTACCTCTCCCTAATTACTAGCTACCGACTCTCTACCTCTAGTATATACCCCCCGGGCAAAAAATAACGTTTGCCTCGCATAGCCATGGTGTTGCTTGGGTGTACCGAGGCGAGATGAGAACCTAGCAGCGACGACCGCCTAGAGCCAGAACTTTGCGACGAATCGATCCGCGTGGATCGATCTGGGCAGTCTGCTTTGCACTCACCACAGAGTTTTGAGCCGCGCAGCAAATTATGTTGGTACAATTCTACTGCAAGGGTCATCAAGCCCTCCAGGTCCTTGCCAGCCTTTTCAAACAGCTCCTCTGTTGTTCTTTGCACCTCGAATCAAGAAGCCACTGGCGGTAAAGCACACACGAGGGCAGTTTCTTGTTACTAATAGTAAGAATGCTCCTAGTAGCGATGCCAGGAACCCCTACTGTAGTAGCATCCTTGCTCCTGGTAGCGATGCCAGGAGCCCCTAGTCAGTCACGTCCTTGAAGAATGGACTGCCCTCGTCACCAGAATCTGTCTCTGCACATCTTCAGGGCATGGCTGCCCCCCCCGGGTCGCCTGTATGGCTGCCACGCGATCGACCAGGCTGGGAGGGTTCAGTGCAGGCTCATTGCTCCTGCGACCGCCCAAAGGTTTTGGAATAACATCTAACAAATCAGCGCCACCCCTGGTGCAAAACAACCGTTTTTGTTCAAAACAAGTTTTATACATGACAATCCAATTCTTCTGAAGGGGATGTTGTGACTTGAGGGTTTGTACAGTGGAACGCAACATGATTTGCAGCTGCCAGATGTCTTTCACCCAGCAGGTGAAGATGAACTACTTGTGGGTCGACCGCTAGTTAAGGCTAGCATAGTCTAGCTAAGCCTAAAGTAGCTAGGACTTAACTAAGGTAAACTTTGCGTGGACTTGCATTAGACTTAGGTTGAACTTAGGTTGGACTTACTAAGTCCGAGCTGAGTCCAACCTAAGTCCAAGCTAAGTCTAAGCCTGTCTAAGCTAGTCCCAGCTAAGTCTTGTGACAGTTGTTTTGTAAATTCTAAAGGGAATATGTGTCGGAAGATTGTCTGACAGTTTTTCTCTTTGCTTTAGTCATGAGGGAAATGTGTGTCAGGAAATTTTCTGACAGGTTTCCCTTTTACCTTTGTCTTAAAGGGACAACTATGTGTGACACTGTCAATCAATCATATGCCTGGACTCACCTTAGACATAGCTTGGACTATGTCGGACTTAGGTTCGGTCCGAGTTTGGCTTATTTGACTTAGTCAGACTAAGTGCTGAGAGACTTAAGACAAGGGTTACTAGTAGGTTAGTAAACGTACAACTGTAGGTTTCAAGTCCAAGTTGGCGATACTTACCCGGCACGTGAACAAAGGATGTAATTAAGACCTATAAAGGTTGTGATGATTCCTGTGCTTTGCTCGCAGGAGCAAATAGCCACTCTCAACAGCTGCTTCAGACATCGTTAATCAACAGCTAAGGAACAAACAAGTGCGAATACAACAAAATATTCCGTCACTTATCTAATCTACGAAGCCAATCTCGGAAGGCAGCTAACAGCACAAAGTTGCATTGATGGCTGTTTGCTATCCTCTACTGCACAATGAATTGAATGGCGCCGCCGCTTTCTCCCAATAATTATTGGGTCCATTACCGTGTAGAAAGGTGACCAGAGATGCAAAAACTCTGCTCTTTGGCGCATCATCTCCTCATTGCCTCTGCTAGCTCTGGCATCAGTGCCGCAATGACGCTTCCAGTCAACCTCAAAGGCAAAGCCTCTTGCATTCCGATGCTGGGAAACGTTTGAAACACCAAAAGCCAATATATATATAATGTTAAATATATATATATATAAAGTAAAAAAACATAGTTAAAAACAAAAAAACCTTAGTGCAGTTCGCACTTCTGGTCGTAGCAGGTGCTTGGATTTTTGGCCACGGAGGCGATAAGGGAGATCTGCCCAAACTGTGGAGCTTATGATAGCATATGATAGCTTATGGCTATGAAAAAAACATCGGGGCAGTACTGAGCTCATGGCGGCCTTCCGTTTAGAAGCTTCGGTTCCTTGGACACGTACAACGCAGGCCGTCACATTCTCAACGCTCTTAGACGCGCACCGAAAGCTGTTGAGCGACAGTGTTGCCTTAAGTGCGTGAGGACGCGCAAAAGCTGTTCTGCAAGTTGTCTGTTTTGGCTTCGTTTCGCTTGTATCTCATCCCATGCCATACAAACCCTAGATCTCACTCCCTTCATCCCTTGTGCATAACGGGGTGACCTTGGAAGCCCATTTGTAGATCATTTGAGGGAGGCCCACTTTGGCACGAAGTGAAAGCATCTCCAAGAAATGCATCTACAATGTGAAAAGTTATCTTTCAAAAGCATCCAAGCTTGAAGGGGTCCTTCTATATCTGACAGGCCCAGAGCCGGGCATTTTGAAGAGCTGCCCTAAAACTTGCCGTGTTGTAATTTCTGAGATAGTCAGAGGAGGCCATTTGTAGTCTGACGTTATCTTGGTGTATCGCTTGTGGTGCAGCAGTATCTCCTCAACCCCTTCCCTTCTGCTTGGCAAGGTGTCACAAAGTCACTTACTGTACAAAATGATGCTAGTTACTAGTACAAAATGCGTGGCCTTGGGCCTCTCAGTTACAGAAGGGCCCCTTCAAGGCAAACAACTGTGCTCACAGTGCCGGGATGGAAACCAAAGCTTCAATCTGCAGAATCCATCGGCAAACTCTCAATGATTTGCCCGACACCCTTCCCCCACATGTCCTGAGGTTCCAAGAAAAATGCAGCACTACACAATGGTTCTTGGATAGAGCATGCAGTTCTACAAGATGACTGACACCAAAAACCTGTGGCAGCTGACCACTTGTACAACTGTCCTTTTACGCAAAGCTGGTTTACCTCTTGCTTTGCACAAAACATCATTCCACCCAACATGACTACAATATAGTAAAAAAGACAAACAACAACAAAACAAAAAAGCTATAGTGGCCTCAAGGCCTGCCGTTTCGTAGTGGAATGCACACAAGGATGACCCTTCACACAATGCAAAAGTTATGTGAAAAAACAAAGGAATTTGTGTGCATGCGTGCTGTCCATCGCTGTACACTGTACACGTTCACTGACAGTTGGACAGTTGAGTGTAGCACGGATTTCATCGATCTTGTCAGGAAAGCCTTCCCTGTTGGCCTTCGTGTAGTCATCTGGAGCCACATCCTTGCGAGCACTAGTTGCACACATCCTGAAGAAAGCGCCTCAGAAAAAGCGAAAAGTTCTGCACAAATCTGCACAATGTGTTTATAGTAATCAATCACCAACAGCATACCCGGCTTTCTTACAGGATGGACTACCCTGGTTGCACAGTTGTGGAGACGGTCAAAGCCCCACTTCAGCTCCTCCGCTAGCTTGGGCACACACCACACCTGCACAGTTGGTCAATCGTTGGTCAATGGCGTGACTTGTGGATGATCAACAACTGCAAGATTGGTGTGTAGTCAACTGTGGTGATCTTTGTACCCAAATGGAAGAGAATGCATTTAAAGGCAAACATCACATCCAAGTGCAGTTGCCGCAAGGCTGGCCTTGGGCGCTGCCTGGCGCAGGTTGAACATGGTTTGATCTCTCAGTCACGAAGGGAACCAAATGGTACAAATATTGGACAAATTAAACATTGAATGTAATCGAAATTCTCTGCGGCATTCACATCATTACGATCATTGGAGGAACGGTCAACTCATGGTGTCCTGCCAATGGAGTCAGTGAACTGAGGAGATCTGAGGAGTGCGTCACAGCTTGGTGATCCAAGAGCTGCTTAACTCACAAATGGATACAAATTGAGCATCTGCTTTAGGCTCCCACCTCAAAGGAGATTTCGATGGACTTTCGGATGTCGTTGCGCTTTTGCATCGCCTCGCTTGGTTTTCGCATCAAAAACAAGTACAGTACAGTATGTATCATGTTGCCACCTGAGCCAACAAATTCTATCAGTGTTTTCGGCCAGCTCAAAAATGCACCGGCCTCGGCATGTTGATCTGTCTCAGCATTAACCTCATCCTGTTTGCCGGAAAAGAATATGTGGCTAGTCACTTGTCAACACGAACACATTGAAACCCCTAAATTCACCTGAAGGAATATATGTTTGCGTGACATCAGGCATGCCTCTTTGTCAAAAATAATGCTCCTGCACTCGGCCTGCCATGCGGCCGTAAACAGGCAAAGCTTCCAATCAAAAGTCTACAATATCTTCAGACGTTCCGTGTTTTCCGATACGCTTGGAATCTGTAGATTTTGTGTCCTTTCTTCAAACTCATCTTTCAACATCTTCCGATACTTTACCACCGCTCTTGATGAACTCTGCCGGCATCCCGACAGAGTAGGCCTCATCTTGTGCACAGTCGCGGAGAACGATGTGCAAACAGCCGAACAGGCCTCGCCGATCCTGGCCGAACAGATTTGCCGATGAGAGTTCAATGTTCGCTAAGTTCACCCATGGACCTGCTTGAAAATCGAACTAGTAACAAAGGGCATCGCTACTAGTAGCAAGGACGCTACTAGTAGCTCCTGGCCTTACTACTAGGAGCAAGGGCGCTACTAGGAACAATGGGCATCGCTACTAGCCGCTAGTTACAGCAACCAGAGAGGCCAGTGCGAAAATCGACCACGGTCTGAAGAGGTCGAGACAATGGAAATCAATGGAAGCACCTTGCGTTCAGCAATGCAATTGCCTGCCATCATCAACAGCTGCAGTGACCTTGGCTTACAAGCATTTTCACGGGAACAAGCAGCACTTGTCACTTGTCAAGTCCTCCCATAGATGTGATTTTCACCCAATAGATGTGATTTCACTAGTTGAGACTTCAACCCTTTATCAAATCTCTCAGAGCCCTGCTCTAGAATTGCTTCAGATGAAGGCCCACCGGGACAAACCTCCATCAGTAGCACTACCTGGACGTGGAAGACTTGTGTACGTTTAAACATGTGCGGGGGGAGACAGGATCGGAACATTGAATGTTCAAACATACTCTGCAAAAATCGGTAAACTTTGGTACGGAGACTGCAAAATATTACTGGATATAGTTACACACCAAAAAACCTGTTCTCTCTGTTGCGCCTTGGACACTATGAGCAAAGGCGTTGCAATTTTCAAGTCTTGCGCCAATCCTGACGAAAAACTACAAGGGAATGCTTCCATTGAAGAGAGGTGGAGATCATTGAAATGAACTCAAGCAGAAGACACAACGGCGTGGTTGGGTACTCTCTTGCTTTCATCAAGAGAGGAATCACACCAATTCTCACGAAGAATGGCAACCGAGGTGAGTTGAAGTCCTTTGTCGCCTTGCCCCTCAAGGTCCGCGAAAGCAACTCGCGGCCTCCCACAAGAACCGAAAATTCAATAGAAGGTCAAACAAAACAAGAAGGACACAAAATGCAAAGAATAAGAACACTTTTCACTGGCGACATCAACACTGGGTGCTGAGCCCGCCCTTCTTCCCACCCAGCTCTTCTACATCAACAAGCCTCGGCATGTTGCCAAAGCAATGAATCAGGCAACATTGCTACTACATTGATTAAGAAAACCCTCTCAGAATGGTTTTGCATCTCCATATATGGGGTGTTTTTAGTTATTCACCAACAGTCAACATAAACTAAAATATCTGGTCCAGCCTGGACGACAAATCCACACCCTTCGTAAAGCTGCGCGCCTGCCAGTTTGGCCCATCTTTTGATTTGTCTGATGACGACTGATGGAAAAATACCATGCACCACAAATAAGAACAATACATGCAGTGGCAGTGGCAGGACTTATCAATATGGGCTCTAGTAATACTAGTACTACCACCAAGACCACGACCACTACTACCACCACCACCACCACGACGACTACTACTACTATCCTTATATATCTACATCTACATCATTCTACATCTACATACTCAAACACTACTACTACTACTACTACTACCACCACCACCACCACCACCACCACCACCACTACCACTGCCACTGCCACTGCCACTGCCACTGCCACTACCACTACCACTACCACTACCACTACCACTACCACTACTACTACTACTACTACTACTACTACCACTACCATTACTACTACCACCACCACTACCACTACCACCACGACCACGACCACGACCGCTACTACTACGACTACTACTACTACTACGACTACTACTACTACGACTACTACAACAACTACTACTACGACTACTACTACTACTACTACTACTACTAAGACTACGACTAAAACGACGACGACGACTACTACTACTACTCTTGCTACTGCTACTGCTGCTAGTGCTATGGCTACTGCTACTGCTACGGCTACGGCTAACGGCTAATGCTACTGCTGCTGCTGCTACTACTACTAGTACTACTACTACCACTACTACAAGTACTACTCGTACTACTGCTACTACATATACTATCATATACTACTACAACTGCTACTACTACTACTGCTGCTGCTACTACCACCACGACGACTACTACTACTACGACTACTTCGACCACGACCACGACCACGACCACGACCACGACCACGACCACGACC